TATAAAACCAGTCTTAAAAATCATTCAATAAGCTACATAGTCAAAAATAAAATTTGGTTGGGTCGAATTTCGATATTCACTAATCCCAACTCAAGCGCATCCCTAACGCAACCCGAATTATCAGTACCCTGTACGCCATGGTCACGACTAGACGACAATATCGTGACGTCACAAGCGCGGCGACCAGAAATTAGTGAAGTGAATGAATAATATTTATGATTAATTTACTTGTGATATCGAGTTCAAGATTTATATTAAGTGACTATTATAATGAGTGGGAATTTAATGACTACGGAAGAACTTCTTCGCATATTAGAAGGAGTTCAGATGACGAAGAATTTTCGGTCTTTATATCGTTAATTGTTTTAATTTGTTACTTTTTATGCCAGGTTTATAGAACTTAATATTTAAAAACATGTATACATAGTACATACTGTATAACATTTTATTAAAATTTTCTATTTTTTCATAGTTTTTATTTACCTTCTTAACCTATTTCAATCATATATTTTTAAGTACCTGTTACATTCGGAATTATAAATCTGATTTAAAAAACGTGTTTCATTTATTATAAAATAATATTGTACTAGAACATCGATAAACGAGATATTACGTTGCCACATCCTTATTTCGGAAGCGAAGTAGTTATTAAAATGGCGGGCCGTCCACGCCATGGTCACAATATGAAGACAGCAGATCAAGAATAGTGTTGTACCTACAGTTATTATATTTAAATATATTGTAGTCTCATATCTGTTATTACGGTATTATACAAGTCTGTAAATAGTGTATAACTATTACTTTAATAGGAAGAAATGTAATGTTGAATTAAATTTCAATGTTATAAGGACATTATATTTCGAAATTAAAGACGAAAATGAAAATAAAATTGATTATCGATGAAGTTTTGGAATCCCTATTTTTTTCGTAGGTATTTGCGGTGAATTTGTGGCCTGGCGTTGAGGGCAAGTTCATGCGTTTTTGCTCTGGCGTTCAAAAGGTTAATGTGCATAAAAACGCGTGCGTACGCATAAACACACGTAGGTATACGTACGCACACTCACGGATAAAAATATGCGTGTGCGTGTGTGTATAAGCGCTGCAGCGCAACCGATAGTAGTCTTACGGTGGCAGTGGACTTTTGACCTTTGACCGTACGACTCGGGCGACATTCGACAATTATCATTGCGGTGTAAGTAGACTTCTGACAGTGACTGTCCGTAATTTTATTATATCCAATTTCCCACTTTGATAATAAGATTTATGAAAGCACTAGACGCATTGAAGTGGCCATAGACATAATATAGATTGTACATAAATAATAATCATTGCGGAATGATGCAAGGCTAAGGTTATCTTCAGATTAAACAATGACAAACCTGCGATTTAAAGTTTTTTATCCACTTTCGTATGTAGTTCCTACATTGTACCTACTCCAATCTGTTTGTCTGTTATTCATTTTTATGGGATACGCAAACGACCAGACGGAGCACCTGATGGTAAGCAATCGACGACGATACAAGGTATGCAGCACTCCACAACACAGTAAAAATAATTTCATTTCAAGATTTGCTGACCACATTGGACCATACTTATACAACAAATTAAATAAAATCCTAAACATCTACCCACTAACCAAAGTAGAATGTAAAATAAAACTAAAAAAATATCTACAAAAACTAAATTACGAGGAAACTGAACAACTACTGAACAAATTAATGTGAGATAAACAGAAGCGCGCACACACCCACAAACACACACACACCCTCACACACACACACACACACTCACACACTTACACATAATGGCCAAAATAGTTAATATCTGCGTTGAGAAAGTCCCTTTTGTTATTGTTATTATTTATCTTGTAGTAATTTTCTGTATTAATTATTATGTTATTACTTTTTATCTTATTCTTGTTATTTTTCTTAAAACAAAAATTAATATTGTATAACTGACATTGGAAAGGCTGAAATTATCTGTACGTTTGAGGGTTGGGCACTGATAGTCGAAATACAGGCAATGCCTAGTTCGACTACAGAAGCTAAAATCATATACCTGTAAAAATATTGTAGCCAAACTATTGTTGATATATTGTATTAAGTGCTTAAGAATAAATAAATTATTATTATTATTATTGTATGTCTTTACCATTCACGGGACCACAGGGTCCCGGTCATTTGGGAGGCATGCGAGGGGCCGAAGCCAACTGCGCAGAGGCCCTTTAGACAACTTTAATATAAATGTAATGGACACACAAACCGGCGACTATCCCTGTATGCACTATGGAAATGCACCCAAGGACAGTCTCCGGTTAGTGTAAAACTATTGAGGATAATGGAAAAAAAAAAGGTAGGGCTATGGATGGGTTGTTGTGGACTGGTAATTGGGAACTATGGATGACTATGACACCTGCCGAAACAATGTAATTTTTACACGTAAAAATGGCAGGCGGAGACTCGCCAACTCACCGACCGGGCCCCGGGAATGGTTGCTAGATATAGCAACAGAGGGCAACGAGAATGTGAGTGGCTGAAGGTTAAGAAACTACCACCGCTTTCTACTCAGATCATCTGCTCCAGCCGAAGCCTCCTGCATCCCTGGCCCACTCGCGACTACGAATAGTTTCTTACCCTCCGAGCAGGTTCACTGCTCTCGCGACTCCACTCTGGACGGCCAATGAAGACAAGCCAGAGGTGGGAGACCTGTTCCTTGTCATCTTTCACTCCAGCCAGCCAATTAAGGCAAGCCGGAGAAGAAGGAACGGTGACTTCTCCCTGGAGCACTCGGGATGATGGTAGCCCGCGGGATCGCTAATGCCCGTCACCTCGCCTCAAGGTGCCCTGCGGGCTTATTATTATTATTATTAATCTGCGCCGCCCACGGACCCCTGGAACACCAGGATAGTACAAGTGCTCCGCCGATCTTTTGGAGGTTAGAGATATTTGAGGATTGAAGGGAAGGGGAAAACGCAACGCAAATATGAAATAATATTGTTTACGCCGGTTTTTTCTGGTCACTTCAGTCGAGCCGGTCCATTCGTGCCGAAGCATGTCTCTCCCATTAAATTTTTTACTTTATAATCAAAGCAATAAAGTTGTAATTATGTGAGTATTATAAAGAAAAACAGAAAGGTGTAGGTTGACCGACTCGTACTGTAAGATCTTGCTTCCTCATCACAGGTATGTACGTACGGCATAGAGTTGAGTATTAAATATTCTTCGTCCAAAGAATGTAAAAAAAATTTTTTTTTCCACACTCAAACAGTTGGCTCATAATTTACAATTCCATAATACTGAAGCACTATTCAGGATAACGTAAGCAAAATACAGTCGAAACAATGAAGAATTGTAGCAATAAAGTCAAGACTGGCACAGGGTGTAGGTAGATACATATTATAACATAACATCACGCCTTTTGATCCCCAAGGGGTAGGCAGAGGTGCACATTACGGCACTTAATGCCACTGTACAATGTAACACCTACTTTTCACTATTTATGTTATGAGTCCCATGTAATAGGGGGTGAGCCTATTGCCATATACCGGGCACAATTCCAGACTCCGTGCTACTACTGAGATTTTAAAAACCCAGTAATTCTTTGCCTGACCCGGGAATCGAACCCGAGACCCCTTGCCCGGTAGTCACACTTGCGACCACTCGGCCAACGAGGCAGTTACATATTTCCTATGTAAGTCTTAATTTAAAAACTATATGTATTAGAATCTTTTTACATTTTTCTGATAACTTTTGGAACCTTGCTGATCCCCTGGTCTCATTTGAACGTCGACTTATAATTTCCCCACCCCGGGATGGTAAAACGGAGCATAATCTTTATCGGTGCGAAAATCGCGGGCGTCATCTACGTTAAAAGCCCGAACGTATTACAATGGGACGATATTTTCGGGATTTAACCATTATAAATCAGTAAATGCTAAGTTTTACAAATATAAATAGGTAAATGTGAGGTTCGAAGTAATCTGACGAATGGCGTGACGGACAGGGTTACTGGGAGAATTTAGAAATTCAACACACCTAATAGTACCTACATAGCTTTTTTATGGGATAAGTCAAAATCCTTTATTTCAATTAGACCAGAAAGGCACTTCAGAATGTCAACAAAAAAAATTTAAAAATGAAGCTATTTGCTTATTCCAAAGTGTAGATTCCTATGGAGAAGAACGAGCAAGAGACTCCATAGGTTACTCTTTTTTTTCAATCAAGTTCACAATACAATTCTCTAGTTACATAGTTTTGTTGTTTAGATTGTGAAAGAACAATGTAACACCAAAATCCAGTCAACAAGATCAAAAAAGAAAATAACCTTAAGGACAGTCTGGAGCTGACCAGTTCCAGTTGAAAGCGTCCGTTCACGAACATGACACATACACCAGCACCGCCCAACTCAACCATATTGTAGGGAATCGAGCGATCCACTGCACGCGTCACCGCCAATGAGTGTTTTGAGTGAGCATGACAACTCCAAGCTGACACAAATGCGTTCTACTAGTCTAATTTAATATTATAAGATAAGCCGGTAAACGAACAGACGGTTCATCTGATGGTAATCAATCGGCGTCGGCCACGGACACCTGAAACACCAGAGGCGTTACAAGTGCATCACTGACCTTTTGGGGATTAGCAGTTTGAGGATTCTTGGGGATTGGGGAATGGGGGGGGGGTATTCGGGCCTCCAGTAACCTCATTCACACGACGAAACACAACGCAAGCGTTGCTTCACGTCGTTTTCTGTGAGGTCGTGTTATCACTCCGGTCGAGCCGGACCATTCGTGTCGAAGCAGGTCCCCCACACTTAACGCTCCCCACGCTCCCCCACACTTAAAAATGAGAATTGAACTGTACTGAATCACTGCTTGAGAATCGAAGTCTATACAATCATAATACTTATAAGAAAAATCGCTACGTTTCTGTCGTGTGTCTGTGTAAGCCCTAAAATCGCAAGAATGATTTCTATAAAATATTTTATCAATATTGATAACGATGCTATCAGCATGTAGGGCATGTCATATCGTGCTGGACAGACAAACAGAAATGTGGTGTTTAATTTTATTATTTGTTGCGATCGCTGGCTGTAAGTTTCATTTATTTACTTTTTTAATTTTCATATAATTATTATTATTATAGGACTAATTGTACGATTTATCTGTGTACCTCCGATCTGTAAATGTGATCTCCTGTATATCGCCTGTGTTGTGCAAAAATCTTCTATCTATATAAATAAAACAAATTTCCGTTCGTTAGTGTCGCTAAAACTCGAGAACGGCTGAATCGATTTGACAATATTTGGTTTTAAAACGTTCGTTGAAGTCCACGGAGAGTTTAAAAGGTGAGAAACGGTGTTGCGAAGTTTACCAGGTCGGCTAGTATCTAATAAATAAATAAATAGATAAATAATCAGGCCCCACCCTTTTTTTCTCTGTGTCTGCTAAAAGGAGACTTGTTATGATTCTGTATTTCTTCCAGCTGTGCCCCGCAGCTTCGTTAAATTCGAAAATAGTTAATAACTTTGGAAGAAATAGTTAGAAAAATAAAGATTCACAGCTCTCCCCCCATAGGTGATACCTATTAGATAACCCAACCTATTAGTAATGTTAGTAATATTCATGCTTAATTTGAAGTACATCCATGCAGTAAATATAGTGACCAGATTGGCGATATATTAAAGAAGGGCCAAATTAAAAGTATCCACCGACGAGCATGTATGAAAAGATTGATGACTGTTGATGAAGCGAAAAAGGTATGTACGAATCGTAGTAATTGGCGTTCCATAGTCTCTGCGTACCCCCACGGGAGACATGCGTGAAGTTATGTATGTATGTGTGTATGTATACTTGCAGTATTTTTTGAATGGTGGTGGTGGTGGGCGATCCGCGCAACGTTAAGCAGGCTCGATCTTGGGCTCGCTGCCATTGCAGCGGTAAGACTCCTCTTTGAGGAGTGGCTTGAGAGACGCTACGGCGTCCTCACCTACCGCCTGACACAGGTTCTCACCGGACATGGAAGTTTCGGGAGGTACCTGTGTCTGATGGGGCGGGAGGAAACGCCCGGGTGTCATCACTGCGAGGACCGCCCTGAGGACACGGTGGAACACACCGTAGCGGAATGCCCTGCGTGGGCTGAGCACCGCCGTGCCCTCAGGGAAGTGATCGGCGATGGCGACCTCTCGCGTCCGGGCCTAGTGCAGGCCATGATGCGGAGCGAGGGGGTCCCCCTCGCTCCGCATCATGGCCTGCCGTCTCCTCCTTTTGTGAAGCAGTTATGCTAGCTAAGGAGGAGGCGGGACGCGTGAGGCAGCCACACCGGGCGTCGGGGATCGCGGGACGATCTCCGGCCACCGTAAGCGCGGGCCTGCGGACGGCGAGCATGGGTGTCTCCCCGTCCGACCAGAAACAGACCCGAGCGTACGGCGCGTCGCGTTCCGCGCGCGCCTCAAAGAGCCATCAGACCACCACAGATGGGGCCCAACAAGGCCGATGCCGATTCGGAGTCGCGGAGAACCTAACGGGTAACCGGGGCTCCGGCTCGACGTGCAGGAGAAGGAACGGGGTGGTTTTTAGTCAGTAAGAGTCTGATACTCCCTCCCGCCTCACCCAGGCGGGAGCAGTCATTCGATGATTTTCCCCCCTTAAAAAAAAAGCAGGCTCGATCTCCACACATTTTGTGTGATCCACAAATTGTTGTTACGAGTCAAACACACGCACGACACAGGAAAAAATCTTAGCATGGGGCAGGATTATTTCTTTCAATTCTGACAACTCAAATAATATAAGTTGGTAGATATCTGGGAAATACGCGATAATGACTGTAAGGTACTTACTAGATTTAATTGACTAATCAAGTGCAATAAATATGTATACGATACGTGCGTAGGTATTTATAAATAAACCAAGTGATTCACATCAAAATATTTCCATTACGTACTTAAGTAATTACCCTACTTAATTGCTGCTTTACAAACTCGAAACCCGACGAAGAAGGAAGAAATTTAAAAACAAATAATACTTTTTGTTTCACTACAGACCCACAAACGTTTAATTCCACTTTTATTTCTTGATTATTATTTTCTAATACAAGTATATTATTAATTGGTAACGTATATCGTATAAAAGGCAATTTAGTTACCTTTAAAATGAGAGCGCTTCGTTGTAAAAGGAACATATATTATTTAAAGTTATAGAGTTTTCGATAAATGAAAAAAAGGCTAGTAGCTCCGTTTCTTTGCGCTCCGGAGTGTATACAGGATAACTTGTAACTCGACGTATTCCTCGCGGGAAGTATAATACAACTAATTTGCTTGAAAATTTTTGTTTGAGGGGGGAATATCATCGAATGGCTTCTCCCGCCCGGGTGACGCGAGAGGTGAGTGTCAGACTCTTACTCACTAAAAACCACCCCGTTCCTACTCCTGCACTTCGAGCCGGAGCCCCGGCCTATCGGCATCAGCCCTATTGGGCCCCATCTGTGGGGGTCTGATGGCTCCTTGAGGCGCGCGCGGAACGCGACGTGCTGTACGCTCGGTTCTGGTTCTGATCGGGCGGCGAGCACGGGTGTCTCGCCCGTGTTTTTAGATTCTCTCGCGACTGCTGGGGCGTGAGGAGTTTCGTTCCCTCTCGCACTCCGCCTCCTCTAAGGAGCAAGACTAGCAACGGAGCTAGAGACGGCATATCAGTACCCTTCTTCAAAATTAGCCCTGAGATCCTTAGTCCGAAAGTAGCTAGTTTCTGAGATATTCCACATTTTCACTACCAAAACTTCAATAAATAAAAAAGTACTGGTTTCATTCAAATTGTTTTACTTTTTATCATTTTGTCAATACGTCATTAAACATTTATTATAATACTAATACTGGCAGAAAGAGACTGCCTCGCTGGCCGAGAGGTCGCAAGTGCGACTGCCGCATACGTACCGAAATCGTGTCCGCACGGCGCACACGTTTCCTTATCTCTGTGACGGTCACTCTTGAACTAAATGAGCGCTTTATTTCTTCAGCCATTTCAATTAATTTTCCCACGAAGGATTTCGATAGACGGAATTAGCGTTATGCATAAACAAGGCACTTCATGACACCACACTTGAGATGGCAGAATAACAGAGAACATTTGTAAGAATGAGAACAAAAAGTTTTTTACTCAATCACTTTGTATAGTAGGTGCCCAGTAGAGAATACAGCTTTTTTAAAAAATGTATTTACTATGTAGTAGGTCATGCAGAGGAAGAGTATCACATTACGCCAGTGGCGCTGCCGGCATCTTCGGCCAGCCGCATCGTTGGAGGTACAGCTACTACGATACAACAATACCCTTTTACAGTACAGGTTAGTAAATAAAGGGTATAACGAGGGAGTCTTCAAGGCCGGAGTGAATAGGTTGCTTATGGGTCGACGTACTCCATCGTAGACCGCATCATCGCTTACCACCAGGTAAGATAGAGGTCAAACGTCGGCCCATCAAACATTAAAAAAAATACGTTCAAACGAAATTGACGACCAAAGAAAAGGTTGAAGATTGTGTGAAGAATGTTTTAAAAGAAAAAAGTAGGTACTTTTTTATGGTATAAGCCGGTAAACGAGCAGACGGATCACCTGATGGTAAGCAATCGTCACCGCCCATGGACACCTGAAATACCGAGGCGTTTTAAGTGCGTTACCGGCCTTTTGGAAATTGGTAATTTGAGGATTGTGGAGGATTCGGGAATTGGGGAGATTGGGGAGGGGGGGGGGGGGGAGGCGTTATTGTGCCTCCGGTAACCTCACTCACACGACGAAACACAACAAGCGTTGTTTCACGTCGGTTTTCTGTGAGGTCGTGGTATTACTCCGGTTGAGCCGGCTCATGCGTGCCGAAGCATGGCTCTTCCACACTTGCACATAATCTATTTGAGAAAATTATGATAACTTTTTTATATTTGATGGACCGACGTTTGTCCACTATCTCGCCTGATGGTAAGCGATGATGCGGTCTACGAAGGAGCACGTTAACTTAGGATAAGTGAAGGAAGAAAACAGAAACTTTTCAATATTAAATCAAGTAAAAATAACAGAGCTACAGGTAGTATTTTTATTTTTTATCTTGGCATCTTTATACGCCCTTGCCGGTGTTTGGATCGCTCCCGGAAAACGCCGACATGTGATGGTGAAAAACCAGTGTTCAATTTCATAAAAGTAAGGCATATTATTTTTGGACTGCCTCGTTGGCCGAGTGGTCGCAAGTGTGACTGCCGGGCAAGGGGTCTCGGGTTCGATTCCCGGGTCGGGCAAAGTACTACTGGGTTTTAAAATTCTCAGTAGTAGCACGGAGTCTGGAAATGTGCCCGGTATATGGCAATAGGCTCACCCCCTATTACATGGGACTCATGACATAAATAGTGAAAAGTGGGTGTTACATTGTACAGTGGCATTAAGTGCCGTAATGTACACCTCTGCCTACCCCTTCGGGGATAAAAGGTGTGAAGTTATGTAAGGAATATTATTTTTTTTTCTTTTATGTAGGTAAGTCTAAGACCGAATAATTTAATCTTCTATATAAAAATAAGTCGGGTTTTCCTTCCTGACGCTATAGATAACTTCAGAACGCACGAACAGATTTCCACGGTTTTGCATTCGTTGGAAAGGCCTCGGGCTCCGTGAGGAATTAACAAACGAAATGTTAAATAAAACGAAGCCGGTGGCAAAACGGAGTTCGCCGGATTTGTTAGTAATATAATAAGCATCTCGGTGTATGTCGTTTACAGCGGGATCTTAGGCTATTTTAGTAGTAGGTAATCAACCGCTGAAAGCTGATGATGCATGAATAAAACGTTAACAAAAATGATAAAAATTGTAAAAGCTAAGTATTTTTTGTCATTTATTTTTGTCGGCGTTGTTCGGGAGCGCTCCGTTTACGATTTGTAGGTATACAGGAATAAGTACGGTACTTGCTTACTTATATAATTCTAAATTTCTAATTAAATACAGTGAACCGATTATACGATATTTTAAATCAATTTGAATTTATTGTTAATGCAGTTTTTTCTTGGCAACACTGAAGTCAAATTCAAAGTCAAACTACTTCTCCAATCATAACAAATTACAAAAATAAAAGATTTTTTTTAAAGCTAATTCACATAATTTTTATTAAAATTATTTGTATATTACATTTATGTATAGCAGCGTGCTTAAAAATGGCCAAGATTGGACAATGCCCTTTGAGTTTTAACGCGATGTTAAAAATTTGCTCTCGTGCGAACTGAGTGCCAAGCACGAATAACTATCGCAATCGTATCGTAACCGTATCGAGCGCGTTAAGTGTTCTGATTGGTTGGTTCACTTAAGCCGTCAATCAGAGCGCCGAACGCGCTCGATACTATTACGTTACGAATGCGATAGTTATTCATGCTTGGCCCTCTGCGCCTTAATTTATTACCATTTTCGTATTGAATATGATTTCAGATTTATAGAAGTAATGCATTCAGCTGTGGAGGGTCGCTCCTGACCAGACGACACGTATTGTCTGCAGCACACTGCTTCGTTACATCGTGAGTAGCTAGAGACAGAGCTGTGCCTTTAGCCAAACGCCACTTTAGCGCTTGTCTACAGAGAGAGTAGAAATCAAAATGTATGGGGATGACACTGACAAGTGTCAAAATTCACGTCAATTCTATATAATTTGGTTTTCTATTCTACATGTAGACAAGCGCTAAATGGCATTTGGCTACAGCTGCTGAATATTAAGGTAAACTCGCCAACCGTCAAGGTACCAAGGTACCATCTAGGCTATTCTGTAAGATGTCAATGGGAATTTTCAAAGTGAGCAAAGTCAAAGTCAAAGTCAAAGCATTTATTTCAATTAAACCATAGTTTGGTACTTTTGAAACGTCAACAAATACAAAATAAATAATAGTCTGTCAGTCAGTCCGTCAGTGAAACTAGGTGAAGCTAGGTGCTCATTCCAAAAAGTAGATTCGAATGGAGAAGAACGAGCAAGAAACTCCATTCGTTACTCTTTTTAAAAAAAGTATGTTCTACAATGTCTCTGATACATATTTCAATACTGTACGCATATGTAAGAACAATGCAAAGACATGCTTGACGAATTATACTAATAACTTACTAAAATTAAAAAAAAAGAGCTCGATAGCATCCTCGCCCGTCATTGGTCGGGATTATTCTTACAACCAATGACATGGCGGAACGCGATCGAGATCAAACTCAAACTCAAAGTCTTTATTTGCATGTTAAGGTAATACATACAGGTCTTATGAAATAACAGGCACAGCTTAACGGCCTTTTTTGCAAATTTTAGAGGTGTCACTAGCTTATTAAAAATTACATTTGCTTAACATTTATTCACTTATGTTCACTTCGAGAGTTCGAATGAACATCTTACAGAATCGCCTAGTTGATTACATAGGCCAAAAGGTAATAGGGAGTGCTTATTTATAGGGTGCTAGGTTTAATCCTCCTCTCATAGATATTTATTAAGATACTATCATTTTCAAAGGAAACACTATTAGGTAGTAGGTATTTGCCCCCATTTACAAATTCCTTCATGTTATCTTTAATGGCTTTAATGTTAGATACTTTTATAGCTTCAATTTCAGTTTATCTTCTCTAGTTTATTCCAGCTTTTTTTTAAAGGGGGGAAAATCATCTAATGACTTCTCCCGTCTTGGGTGAGGCAAGAGAGATTGTCAGACTACTAGGTACTTCGTCTTACTAACTAAAAACTACCCCTTTCCCACTTCTACCTCGAGCCGGAGTCCCGGCAACCCGTTATGATTTTTTAGGAAATATTAAAAATGTTATATAAAACGAGTTTAGAAATAAATAAAGAGATAATAATGATATGTTTTATTCACAGAGATGGATTCGTCATAAGTCCCTCAGTGGTCACCATTCGCGTCGGCTCGACTTTCCTATATTCAGGTTAGTTATTATTTTATTAAAACATTGTTCTACATTCGGACTCCGGACTCACTTGGCAAGTATCGCAGAAAAGTCAGTTCGATTCTTGATGATGTAGTCCGAATGTAACTATTCTTATTTATTTTGTTTTTACATTCACTTATTGTTTTGCTCACTAATTTTTGAAGTGTAGAGGGAGAGCAGATATGAATGGGGCTGTCGGTAGAGGGCGCCCTTGACTGACGGACATAATATCAACCAGATTGGCGATAGATTATAGAATGGCAAAATTAATAAAGTACCCTTAACCGACGAGCATTCATGAAAAGACTGAAAATAATGACAGTTGATGAAGCGAAAGAGGTATATAAGAATCGTAGGATTTGGTGTTCCAGAGTCTCTGTCTTGTCACGGGAGATAGGCGTTAGGTTATGTATGTATATTCTACACATGTAACTGATTATTATTATAACAGGAGGCTCCACACATCAGGTATCAGCAATTATAGTCCACGAGAACTATGGTATTCCAGTGAGGGACAATGATATAGCAGTATTATTGCTCAGAACAGCTGTGACCTTAAGTTCAACTGTCGCTACTGCCTACATACCGGTGCAAGGAGCCGCTGTAACTGACAACGCCACAGTCATAGCCGTCGGTTGGGGACTGACTAGTGTAAGTACTGTTTCCTAACAAGCTATCATTCTTATCCCTTAGTCCACACGTCAGTTTGTACAAAACCAGATTTATCCTGGTGCCGCATCATCTTTCCGCACATTTAACGATCAGTTTATACTGGTTATGTAAAGCTCGATGTGTAGCCGTGTGTCCGATCATTAAGGAGGAAATATGGGGGTTAATTGGAAAGTTATTTTTGCTCTAGAAACAATTTTGTAGATTTTCAAAACCCCCAGAAAACATTCCAGGTAGAACTATCAAATTACTGACCTATCTTCACTCTAGACAAACTAGATATTAGGACTTGTATAAAAGAGGTCTGCCATAAGCTTGACAGACAGAGAACGCAGTAAAAATGAATGAAAGCGCTCCTGGGTCAGTGATACATGTGCAACCAAAGTAACCAATGTTGGGAATGGGTCTCTTCAATAAATTAGTGGACTGTATGTAAAAACTGTATATTATAAAGAATTAAACGGTAAGCTTGTGTCCGCGAACGATCCCAAAAGAAGCAAGATGGATGCCGTGCGCCATCTTGCTTACTCATCAAAGATGGGTCCATCATCGTATAGGCATCTTATAATAGGTAGGTATCTGTCTTGCTCCAAGCTCATAAGAAACGTGATAAAGCTATCCTGGAACAGAAATAAAATAGCTTATATGTGCACAATGTACATGTAACACCACGCCTGTGCGCTGCTCACAAGGAAGAGTCCCCCTGTGTCTCGAACCTAGTTTTTTTTCTTTTTATACCACGACGGTGGCAAAAAAGCACTCGGCCCAGCTGATGGTAAGCAGTTACCGTGGCCTATGTACGCCTGCAACACTTGGGGCATTACATGCGTCTTGCCTACCCTTAAGAAACCTATTCACTGCCCTCTCGAAGAACCCCATGTTGTAGCCCACTGGGAAAACCACGGCAGGGAGTTCATTCCACAATCGGAGGGTCCGTGGGAGAAAAATTCCTCTGAAACCGAAATGTACGGGACTATTTTGGCTCCAATGAGTGAGCGTGTCGATGGCGAGCGATGCGATGATAAAAAATGGCCGTGGGCATCATATCAACTAGTAAACTTAGTAAACTTTTTCTCAGATATTTTTAGTTAATTTAATATGTTGGTACATAGTTTTTATACAAAATATATTCTATAGGAAAATGCTGCAGGGCCTTCGTCCGTATTAAACGAGGTGTCAATCAGGAAGATCAACCTGGGCACATGTCAATACAACTACTTAAGACTACAATCGACGTCGGGAATCCCTTACCCTGTCACTAGCAACATGATCTGCGCTGGAATCCTTGGCGTTGGAGGTAACTTCACAAAGATAAAATTAAAATAAACAACAGAACAGAGCAGAGGTGCGCATCACGCCACTGTACAATGTAACACCCACTTTTCACTATTTATGTTATGAGTCCCATGTAATAGGGGGTGAGCTTATTGTCATATACTGGGCACAATTCCAAACTCCGTGCTACTACTGAGAAACAATTAAAAAAGCTACTGCTAGGTTGTTCTGTTAAGTAGTCTTATCGAACTCATGAAATGGGCACAATCGCGGTCCGCTGCCCGCATTGGTTGTAAAAATAATATCGTCCAATAACGGACCAGAATGCGATCAAACGAACTCCGAGAGTTCGAATTGACCACTTAAATAATAGCTTAGCTGATGGATGTCTTTTTTCTTCTCCTCTTATAATATCTTCAGATTTACTTCGTTGCGGAAACCAACACAGTTATTCATGTCCCTGGGACGCGTCGGACTTCAGTGTTCTACTGTAGATCGTGGCTTACGGGACTTGGAGCGGTTTGGGGAGGTTGTGGCGGGCTTGCCCCAAAAAGAATTGCTGATCGTATACATATTTATGTATCTGCGGGGCAGGACTAACGTGGTACTTAAAATGGTGACGTCACATTTTTTGTGGAACTGGTCATCTGATGATCATCGTCCAGAAGTGACTAAACGTCGACTCATCGAATACGTCATCAGAATCGATTTAGTTTATTTCAATAACACATTTATGAATACACAACATATACAACATTAAAATTAACTATAACTAAAACAGTAAATAAAAATAATAGTATTATTTGTTTCCGTGGCTTAACAAATTGTAGTGTTTAAAAATCGTAATTGAAAAACATAATAGACGCATTACTCACCCATAGAATTTTCGAAAGTTCCCCTCGGGTTCCCTAGGATCCCATCATCAGATCCTGACCTCATGGAAATGGGACCATCTCGGGAGTATACCCTTTCAAACAAAATAAGAATTTTGGAAATCGGTTCACAAACGGCGGAGTACTTCGCGAACAAACAATAAAAAAAAACAATCAGCCGAACATAGTACCTCCTCCTTTTTTTGAAGTCGGTAAAAAATAAAGAAACCCACAGGGGTTTCACCGGTACAGCGCCCGAACCCATGAGGATTTAGCGATGAAAACTATCCTATGTCATTTCATCCATCGTTTTATCGACTTTCAATCAAATAGATATGTACACTTATGGATGAAAATCGTCATACGTCTTTCCCGGGTGTGAAACGATCCTTGTACCGTTGTAGGCTGAACCTATGTGATTGAAGTTCGGTTTAGGAAATAAAGAATTCCGGGATTTTAACGCAAAATTCCCGTCCCGTGGGATACCCGGGATAAAAACTTTTATCGAGTGTAACATTATCTTTGTACGATATTGATTCAGTTGTTTAACATATCGAGACGGGTTATTACCCACATATTTCCCGCTCCCTATTCATAGATAGATAAAATCATATTACCTTATCATATTCGAATCGAATTATCTTTGGACAAATAATTCTACACTACACGACTAATATTAACTGGACAATCGTATCATGATAATTAAAAAACAAATTGCGCTTATTAAAGATATGCTTATACATATTTCCGTATTAAATAATACTTAACAAAAACAAAAAATATATATTTAAACATATAAAAATTGGGAGCCAACCAGTAGTGGGAGCGTGGTCCAAGCTTCAAAGTCAGAAACCTCCGCACGATAAGTGCCATTTTTAGAAGAACTGCCTCCTGTATCAGGCCCTTTATAATATATCATTATGTATTGCATTACGTACCTTTTGTCATAGCAATGATAATAATTATGATCAGTGCTATAATAATGTTCATAGTACATTAAAACTGTCGCGGAGAACCTAACGGGTTACCGGGGCTCCGGCTCAACGTGCAGGAGAAGGAACGGGGTGGTTTTTAGTCAGTAAGAGTCTGACACTTCCTCCCGCCTCACCCAGGCGGGAGCAGTCATTCGATGATTTTCACCCCTTAAAGAAAAGGACATTAAAACTACTCACATCATCGGTTAAAACTAAAAGTGGTGCTTACTGCTGACGACGATAAACTGCTGACGTAAAACTGCTGACGACGATACAATGCATTCTTGTCACGCGATGAGTTAAAACATACAGATTTCAATGAAGTGTCCTATTTGAACCTCGCAAGTAATCGTGCGAGCACATAAAGGCCTCTTCTCACTGGAGAAGGAATAAGCATTCTTCACCACCCTTGCTCAAGGCGGATTGGCGATTTCAAATTTATAATTAGAAATTAGTAATAATATACAAGACTAGCTTTTACCCGCGGCTTCGCTCGAGTCACAAAAGGATAAAAAGTAGCCTATGTGACATATACCAATACATACAGCGACATCTATACCAATCATTTCGTTTTCCCTCTAGAATATATTTATTTTATATTTATACCCTATTATACCCTATTATTTAATCCAGACTTCTAACTTTACGTCTGCAAAAATTCAAAGCAATCGGTTTAGTAGTTACGGCGTGAAAGCGGAACAAACAAACTCACTTTCCCATTTATAATAGTAACTAATTATAATTAAGATCACTATTTATAATTAAGATTGTTGTGTACGATTTCAATCTGTCGTCTGTATCTGTACTTATGTAAATTAAATAATAAATACTGCCCACTAATGCACAGCATTTGAAGGGCATCACAGCATGCGTTGAGTTGAGAACACTATATCAATTAAATTTTATTAAATTTTTTTCACGTATTAATTCGTTTTTACTATTAAAACATGTTCGATGTGTGTTTGCAGGTAAAGATGCGTGTCAAGGTGACTCTGGTGGTCCTCTCCTCTACGGTGGGGTAGTAGTGGGGGTGACGTCATGGGGGGAGGGATGCGCGCAGGCGGACTACCCTGGGGTGTCTGCCAGGGTCTCCAGCTATACCACTTGGATCAACAACACGGTGAGAGAATTTGTTATAAAGTCAGGCAAATACTGTGTATTACAACATAATGCATACCTCACATGCATATATTGCACTCTTCGTTAATATAATAGGGTAGATGACTAATTTTAATTTTAATGTCCGTCTGATAGATTATTTAAAAACATTAGAAACATATTTTTTTATTTTCTTACGGAAACGAATAGCTTCGAAGATGTATTGGTTTACAATATTGCGTGACGTCACTTTTGTGTGCGTTTTATACTCAAAAATGACGTTACTAGCCACCACTCCTCGCCGGGCTTGTGCGGTCCAGGGCCCTCTACGGCGCCCTTGTGTGGGCGCCGCACCTGATGCGGCGGCTATTACCGCCGTGTGATCTGGCGGGAGGCGAAGGTGCTCGCGTGCGTGTTTTATTTGCGCGCGGAGGCACGTCGCCGGGGCGAAACTCCGTTGCTGCGCCAGATTAGTGCGTGGCGGGAAGAGCTCCGGCGCGATCTCATGGCGGAATGGGAGCAACGACTGTCGCAACCGAGGGCTGGGCTCGCTGCCATTGCAGCGGTAAGTCCCCTCTTTGAGGAGTGGCTTGAGAGACGCTACGGCGTCCTCACCTACCGCCTGATGCAGGTTCTCACCGGACATGGGAACTTCGGGAGGTACCTGTGTCTCATAGGGCGGGAGGAAACGCCCGGGTGTCATCCCTGCGAGGACCGCCTTGAGAACACGACTCTCTGAGATGTGAGCAGCGCCCTAGTGGGCCACCGCATCAAATTCGGCGCCCACACAGGGGCACCGTAGAGGGCCATGGACCGCACGACCCTCGCATACAACCTCCGGCAGGATGCGCCGCCTCATACCTCATACCTTACCTAAGGCAGTCGCCTCATACCTTACAGAAGTCATTGGATGATTTTCCCCCTCAAAAAAAGATATTTTTCTAGTTTGCCTTAGGGATAAAACTGCTCTAGTTTAGTCGTTCCTTAGCTTAGGAGGGGTTAGTAAAAACGGCCATTAATATTTTTAATGGGTTTTACCTCGGTGACGTCATAATCGCACTATCTGAGTAGGTACATTTAGGACACTCTGTTATCATTATTATCGCTAAAAGCGGTCAAATAAAAGTATTTATGTTTATTGTGGGCTGACACTTATCAGTTTACGCTGTAAACTTACCAACAATCGTATTGTAGAACAGCTGTTAATATTAAATGTATTTTTATCAGCCTCGTTGAAAATTCATCAGGTTAAAAAAAACATGTCATCACGCATTTTATTCCCCAAGGGGTAAGCAACATAATGTCATAATGTACCTACACCTAGGTACATTATGACACTTAATACCATTGTACAATGTAACACCCACTTTTCACTATTTAGGATAGTCCCACGTAATAGGGGGTGAGCCTATTGCCTTATACCAGGCACATTTCCAGACTCCGTGCTACTACTGAGATTTTCAAAAACCCAGTAATAATTTTGCCCGACCCGGGAATCGAACCCAAGACCCCTTGCCCGGCAGTCACATTTGCGACCACTCGGTCGTAAATGTGACTTGTGAAATTGGTCGAGTGACCAATGAGGCAGAAAAATAATCTAATAAGTAATCCTAAAAAATATTATATAATCTATGATAAGTACATTAGTTACGTGTGTGGTTGAAATAGGAGATAAAATTGTTAATCATTATTTACGACACCCCCATAAATACTATGTGGTCGTTTACCTATCTGAGAATTGGGATGACGACAGTGTATGAAAATTAAAAATACAATTAGTCCGTAAGTAAGGTAATGAAAAAATATTAGACACGTATTTTTTTATTTTGTCGTATAATAAAACAATACTTAGATAAAACGTATCAAAGTTTAGGAGTAGGGGCTAAAACGTCATTTCTACGTATAAAATGTACATAGAAGTGACGTCACGCGACATTTCAAATCAATATATCGTCGAAAGTATTCGTTTTTGTAAGAAAATAATAAATACGTGTCTAATGATTTAAAATAATCTACCAGACGGACATTAAAATAAAAATTAGGCATCTACCCTATTGGTAGCGTCTTCTTGAATTATGGAAGTCGACAGGTAAATTAATCTTGTTTACAGGTGAACAATAATCTGTTTCAGGTTAACCGGTATAATGGTGCCAGTTCGGTTGACGTGGTTCGAGTCACTCTGCTGATTCCCTTCTTGTATTTAATACTCAGCACTTAGAAGCTAATGAGTAAATCAATGAAAAGTGACGCTAGTGTTTTTGTTAAGATTTTTTTAAATATACCTCTATTGACAGTGTAATGAACGCTTTTCATTACTAACTTAGGGCTCGTACACAAAACTGTGACGCCGCATCGCATCGTGAATTGATTCGCATCGCGCATCAAAATCTTATCTTCCTAAAATCCTCTTTGTTTCTGTTTCCTGTACCTTTTTTTTGGGGCATAAGCCGATAAACGAGCAGACGGATCACCTTATGGTAAGCAATCGGCGTCGCCCATGGACACCTGGAACACCAGAGGCACGTACTTGTAACGTTACCGGCCTTTTGGGGATTAGGAGTTTGAGGATCGTTAGGATTCAGGAATTGGGGAGATTGGGGAAGGAGAGGGTAATTGGGCCTCCGGTAACCTCACTCACACGACTAAACACGCAACAACGCAAGCATTGCTTCACGTCGGTTTTCTGTGGGGCGTGGTATCACTTCGGTCGAGCCGGCCCATTCGTGACGAAGCATGGCTCTCCCACACTTAAAAAATCTTCTAAGCTAAGATCCATGTCACCACGACATAGTTTTCAATTTAAAATACGTTTAGTACGGTTGACGGTAGTCGAAGGAATGGTCACACTGGGAAACGCCTAGTCGCTCGAAATCCCATCTCAACAATCCGCATCGCATCACATCACAGTTTTGTGTACGAAGCATTACGGTGTTATTTGTTTTATTGTTACAGTATCGCGATAGTTACTTTTTTTCATACTTATATACTATTGCGCCTGCGATAATGGCCTTAACTTGGGTCCTTATTAATATTTTATTACTATAAGTAACAACTAGTACAAAAGATCATAGCACACTTAACCTTAATAAGCTCCGCTCCGGCACAGTTCCTGCGCCGCTCCGGCACGGCTTCGGCTCGGCTCCGGCACGACTCGCGAGCACAATTTTAGCTTTTTATATTGACTCTAAGAAATATGTCATATAATGTAATGTTCTATCTAAATGACAAGTTGATTGCTGGGGTGGAGCGGTAAGTAATTGTTAAGTGTGTTATGTTATGACATTAAGGCATGTGTTTAAAACTCCATGGAATTGTGTTCTTGCCCTTGTCAATGCGAGTGTCGCAAAGTGCACTTCAATGTAATGTAAGTACGTACATATTATTGTATTAGCGTCTCTCAAGCCACTCCTCGAAAAAGGGAATTACCGCTGCAATGACAGCGAGCCCAACCCTCGGTTGCGACAGTCGTTGCTGCCATTCCGACATAAGATCGCGCCGGAGCTCCTCCCGCCACGCACATATCTGGCGCGGCATCGGAGTTTCGCCCCGGCTACATACTATTACGGTACGAATGCGATAGTTATTCGTGGTTGGCACTCAGAGTCATCACATGCCTCTTTATTTTAAACGACGGCTGTGACGTCTCAATGAGTGCTCAAAACGAACTCAATGTCCGGTTTATATAGAACAAAATAGAGAAGGAGATTGTGTAAAAATTTCGAAAGTGGGCAATCCTACGATATACATTTCGATTAGAATAAAACTAAAAACCCCTGCCACTTACTTAATCGAAATACTTTTATACTTTTTTTTCAAACTACACATTGAAATGTACTTTGCCGTGCAATAAAATCTGTAAAATAATGTTTTTGTATTCTCACATTAAAATTGTTGGAAATTTTGTTTAGTTTAATTTCATACCCTCATCTTTGTGACCAAATGACTGGATTATTGGTGATATGATGTTACATACTAGAGTTATGTACAGTCAATAACCACTAATGTTACCTACAACACAAAGTTGGTAAATGCTGACAGAAAACTGTTGAGAACAAATCCTCTGTTATCGTGGCCCACATGTTGTCCCCCACAGCGTTCAAAGTGTTAAGTATATCTTAACATCGACAAATACAAAGGGTTGAGTGGGAATTCACAGGGAAAGGATGTATTCTAAATTATCTAAATTACTTGAGAAATAAGAGGGCAGCAGAGGGAAAGGAAAGGCAGTGCACCCACAGAAGCACACTCCGGACATGCAAAGGAATTAAACCAACAACTGATGGTCTTGCGTATGTACCTCCTCAACCCAATCCCCATTTCTAAACGTGTGTCTCGCTCACCATAGTATATGTCGTCGAATAGTTTAGATATAGCCATAACGGTATTGTTAGGTTAAGACGAGACACTTACAGCCAGTTTCAATAACCTATCTATCTGTAGATTTGCTTACTAGAGATAGAATTTTGACACATTTTGTATGGAGCTTATGTCAAAATTCTATCTCTAGTAAGCAAATCTACAGATAGATAGGTTATTGAAATTGGACGTTATATTCACCCTACATCCTTCACGGACTAGTCTAAGTATTGCTTGTTCCGTGAGTGCACATACAAAAAGCTGATACAGTAGAAAATAATATTCCGATTCAGTTAAAAGGAATAAAGATAGAGATAGGATAAAACCCTAGCTAGCTATAATAAACGGCAGCGTCGCGTTCCGCGCGCGCCTCAAAGAGCCATCAGACCACCACACATGGGGCCCAATAGGGCCGATGACGATTCGGAGTCGCGGAGAACCTAACGGATAACCGGGGCTCCGGCTCGACGTGCAGGAGAAGGAACGGGGTGGTTTTTAGTCAGTAAGAGTCTGACACTCCCTCCCGCCCCACCCAGGCGGGAGCAGTCATTCGATGATTTTCCACCCTTAAAAAAAAGCCTATAATAAAACTACAATCACATACCCGTACACTGCTCTCATGCTACTACTCACCAGACTAGATACTACACACTGAATTTGTGTTACCAAATCCTAAGGATCCGTAGTCCAAGAGTAAGTGTCCTATCGTTGCCATAACATTTGTGACATCTCCTCGCCAAAGGCCCTTTCCCAGACCCCTGCAGTCCGGGTTTGTGACACCTTTTGTGCAATATCTGAATTGTTTCTAGGGACCTTTCGCAGGTCAGTATTATTGCAACCAGATGTGGCGCTTGATATTGTGTTATGCGCCCATCGGCTCCACGTTATTCTTAAAATCATTAACAAGTTACAACTCAATTGCCTATTCGTTATTTCTAATCGTTCGATTTGGTAATCGTATTAATCAATATTGCACAATGGAAAGTAAATTGCAATGATACTTTACGTTTTGTATGTGCATGAATAATAATTTTTAAACAAATTAAGTAATTTGACTTAATTTGACTTCCATCTCCTAGTGCCTTAACACTTTTAAGTATACTTATGTAAATAAAAAAATAATAATTTGTTTATAATGTAAGCTTATATTGTTTAATAAATATGTAAGCAAGCATAGATAATAAAATCTGTACCTACATTAAGAAATACTTACATTAAAAAAATGAATTTAGTTTGTTGCATACCTACTAGATTCAACGATCTGGCCGTAGCCACATAGATTGTACGCAAATTAATAATCATTAGCTACGGAATGACAAACTTAGCTACGGCTAAGAAATGTTTTTCCGAAACATGTGGTGTCGAATTTTATTGTTTGTTGCAGTTGTTAGCTGTAAGTGTCATTTGCTTTATCTCCTGTTTCCGTAGTGCTTTTTTCTTTTTAAGGGGGGAAAATCATCGAAAGACTGCTCCCGCCTGGGTGAGGCGGGAGGGAGTGTCAGACTCTTACTGATTAAAAACCACCCCGTTCCTTCTCCTGCACGTCGAGCCGGAGCCCCGGTAACCCGTTAGGTTCTCCGCGACTTCCTTAGTGCTTAAGAGTGCCTGTTTGTTTGGCTATGGAAGTCAAAGATTTAGGAGGTCGTTTCTGCTCGAATTATGCGGGATCTTGGCACCGACTTCTAGTCTATCAGTGGGTGGGTAACCTATCAGTACTGTCGCGGAGAACCTAACGGGTAACCGGGGCTCCGGCTCGACGTGCAGGAGAAGGAACGGGGTGGTTTTTAGTCAGTAAGAGTCTGACACTCCCTTCCGCCTCACCCAGGCGGGAGCAGTCATTCGATGATTTTCCCCCCTTAAAAAAAAAAACCTATCAGTACTAATAATAGTTATTTTTTTGGTCTGGTTCTGGTCGGACAGCGAGCCACCCATGCTCGCCGTCCGCAAGCCCGCGCTTACGGTCGGCGCTTACGGCCGGAGATCGTCTCGCGATCCCCGACACCCAAAGTGTCCTTTGCGACGGCTGGGTTGTGAGGAGGCAGCGCTTCGCTGCCTCAAGCGCCCCGCCTCCTCTTAGCTAGCATGACTGCTGCGCAAAAGGAGGAGACGGAATCCCAGTCGCCCTCGCTCCACATCATGACCCGCACTAGGGCCGGCCGCGAGAGATAAGAAGCTGCGTCAGGCGGTAGGTGAGGACGCCTTAGCGTCTCTCAAACCACTCCTCAAAGAGAGACTTACCGCTGCAATGGCAGCGAGCCCAAGCTGTCGACGCTACTGTTTAGTCGTCAGGTTACTCGACAACGTAGTACTAAAGGTGGTCTCTATTTTCTGTGCACCTTGAGGTGGGCTCTGCGAGGTGACTGGCCACGAGTGTGAGGATGTGGGAGAATATTATCGTACATATCCTCGTGCACGCTAGTCAGAGGGGACACCGGGTGATTCTTAGTCAATCGACATCTATTACTTCCTTTTTCTTTCCCTAGTGAGGTTGCATGAAAATTTCCCAGTTTTGGTTAAAAAAGAGAGAGTAAATACGTTCCGAAACAGAGAAAATTTTAAGTTGCACGTAGTCAAAGCTACCCACATCTGTAACTTCGACTACGGGTAGTTTTTAATAAATAGACTTAGTTATATATATTTTCTCATTAATTTAGTGGGTCATGCAGATGAAAAGTACGACTTATTACAAGGCGAACCTACTACGATAGAAAAATATCCTTTTGCAGTACAGGTCAGTAAACTAGAAATCTTTGAAAGTGCAAAAGTATAAGAGGATAAGCAAAAAGGAGGTATGTATACCTGTATCTGACAAAGGATGAAAGACAGGTGCATAAATGAATAAAGAAGAACAATAAACCTATTGTCCAGTAATTCTATATAATAGTCTCCTAATTTTTGTTTTAATATCCGTCTGGTAGATTAATTTAAAACAGAAGAAAGAAAAAGCATTTATTCAACAGTTGGCACGCAAACAAATACAAAAAAAATACAGATACTTATATATAATACAAAACAATAATAATATATTTAAAAGAGATCAAAGAAATTTTTAATCAGAACTACCCCATACCTATTATAATTATTATCATGTCTTAAATTGAATGTGATTTCAGATTATACGTTATCGATTTGGAGGTATATACTCCGTTACGTGTGGAGGGTCGCTCGTGACCACGCTATTCGTATTATCTGCAGCAAGATGCTTCGTTTATTCGTAAGTAGAGATTTATTTTGAGGTTACAATTTTGAAATGAAACCTTGGCAATATTTGAGTCTATTACTTCGCCCGCTAATCTTTACTTTGTCTTTAAAAAGAAAAGATGTTCTCAGCATCGATTTTGGTGAAATGTTCAGGAAAGTACTTGATACACTAACGCTGAAGACTCACGACGCGAAAGATTTATTTCGTTGCGGGTTTCATGTCCCTGAGACGCGCCGGACTTCAGTGCTCCGGTGTTTTCGTGGTTGTATCTACTGTAGATCCTGGCTTACAGGAGCTGCAGCGGTTTTGGGAGGTAGTGGCGGGGTTGTCCCAACAAAGGGTGCGGGACCGTAACAGCAGCGAGCGCGGGAGAAAATCGCATCGTGGGTCCTTAACCTTAGGAACAGCTAGGCTATTCTGAGTGCCAAGCACGAATAACTATCGCATTCGTAACGTAATAGTATCGAATGCGTTCAGCGCTCTGATTGGCCGGCTCAAGTGAACCAACGCTGGCTCTGTAACTTTCAATTTAAACTTTCGAAGTGAGCTTGACCTCATTCTCGCCCGTCATTCCTCGAGATTATTCTCCCTACCAATGAAATGGCGGACCGAGATCGAGTTTACATCTATCTTTTAAATTGAGAGTTACTTAGCAGGTTTTATAATTTTAACCGCCTTTTTTTTCTTAGGTCTACTACCAGAACAACTAATATTACTACAACCGCATCGCCTAAGAAACTTTTACGCAAAAGGTTAGTAAAATGCAAATTATCAATCCAATCAATTAACTGACTGCCTCGTTGGCCGAGTGGACGCAAGTGCGCGCAAGGGGTCTCGGGTTCGATCCCCGGGTCGGGCAAAGTATTACTGGGTTTTCAAAAATAATCTCAGTGGTAATACGGAGTCTGGAATTGTGCCCGGTATATGACAATAGGCTCACCCCCTATTACATGGGACTCATAACATAAATAGTGAAAAGTGGGTGTTACATTTTACTGTGGCATAATGTGCACCTCTGCCTACCCCTTCGGGGATAAAAGGCGTGTTGTTATGTTATGTTATGTCAATCAATTAATTAGTCAATGACTTAATCAAATCAGATAGATCAGGTGAAATCAATCAGAAAATCCACAAATCAATTAGTCAATCCACAAATCAATCAGTCAATCCCTAAAAACAATAAACCAATCACTCAATTATTTTCAGTAAAAAAGTTAATCAGTTCTGTGCTGTCGGGAATTTAACTTACTAGCTAGACTATTAATAAAGAAATAAATTATTTTTAACCGACACTTCCTAAAAACGAAGAGGTTCTCAATTCGTTTGTTTTTTTTTGTATAATTCGATTAAAGCGTTTGTGGGGGCGGATATGACGATTATTTTTATTTTGGAAAAGTTATAAATATAAGGATCTGATGATGATCTATCTGTCCTATAATTATTAATATATATTTATTTTATTACTTTCTTCTTTTACTTATCTTTATTTTGACAAAATAGCGTGTGTTAAGTAATTGTTATTTTCCTGGTCATCATAGTTTTCGTTGTTTCCGTCTGTGCGTCACTGCAAGGGTGCCAACTGAAAACCAGTTCAAGTGAGCTTGCGCTTTCGCTGAATCTGTCCCAACTAGCCCAGGGTCCAAGGTGTAACGTTGATATGCATACTGCAAATCGCTTAGACCTTCTGCTGTCAACTAATCCAGACCGCTATTCGGTGTCAGTGTCGAGATTCGATCGAGAGCGATTGCGAAGTAGCTACTCGAGAAATAAACCTATGGTGAAAGTTAAGCATCCTCAAGAAATCTCCGCAGCTATCTCACGGTGGTTTTGGGTGAGGGAAAATTTTGGATCGCGTCAGTTTTGAAAAGCAGCGGCTATGTACCCTTGGTTGAAATTTGAGATTGAACTCCGACACTCCAAAGACACACTTATTACTGTCAATGACCATAAGTCGCAACTTCATATTGCGGTCAGCACAACTAATATGATAATGTGTATTTTAAGGAACGGATTACACATAGATCCCGAAGAATTCAGAATTCGTGTCGGCTCAACCCGCATACAAGATTCAGGTTAGTTTTTTATTGTATTTTTTTAAGGGGGGAAAATCATCGAAGGAATGCTCCTGCCTGGGTGAGGCGGGAGGGAGTGTCAGACTCTTACTGACAAAAAACCACCCCGTTCCGGCTCCTGCGCTTCGAGCCGGAGCCCCGGTAACCCGTTAGGTTCTCCGCGACTCCGAATCGGCATCAGCCCTGTTGAGGCAGGAGACGGGACGGGACGCGAGAGGTCACCATCGCCGATCACGTCCCTGAGGGCACGGCGGTGCTCAGCAAACGCAGGGCATTCCCCCACTGTGTGTTCCACCGTGAGTTTTTTATGGTATAAGTCGACAAATGAGCACACGGATCACCGATCACCATGATGGTAAGCAATCAGCGCCGCCCATGGAGACTCGTAACACTGCCCGCAAGTGTTACAAGTGGCAAGGCAGGATTTGGGGATAATAAAATAGCCGTGCATACCCGGCCTCGTGGGGCCGAGGCTGGGTTATGTGGGGCTCGAACCCACTAAAAACCCCGGGGTGTACCACTCGCGCATGAGGGCGGGCCACAAGAACTGTACTTTCGCACTGCCCTCGCGACCCGCCCTGCGTAGGGGGAGGGGGAATTGGCCTGTGGTAACCGAAACACAACGGAAGCATTGAGAATTATACTCGCACTTAAAAAAAATATATATCGAATTATACTCGCACTTAAAGAAAATGCGTTTTTTACCAAACTCGATATTCGAGACTGTCAAACATTAATAATGGTTGTTTTATCAAAGGTGGAATACGTTATGAAGTATCAGAAATAATAATCCACGAGAACTACAGAAGTATTGACAATGACATAGCATTAGTACGGACCAAGAATCCAGTCTCATTGGGTCCTAACATCGCAATTATCAAAATACCGCAGGAAGAAGTGATGGTGCCCGACAACGCTACTGTCACAGTTATTCGTTGGGGTTCTGCGGTACGGTACAACTGACCAATGTGTAGCTGCTTGCGAACATCTCGGAAATATCACACCTGAGAAGACACATCTTTTCTTGCATATATATATATATATATACATATATGCCGCGACCGCAGACGAGCGGTTTGCAAACTTCTCGCGAGCGGTTCGCAAGCAGGTACTATTGAGAATAGTATATTCAATAAACTAATCAATTATATATTATGAATGTAGATTACTTTAATGCGGTACCCACGAAGATTAGTTAGCACCCATTCGTATATCTTACAAAACGAACATTTTGAAAGTTTCTTTATTTTAGATTAGGCCGAGTCATATCAATTATTGGAAATTAGGCACAAGAATTGGCTTCATTTTATTTTTTACTAGGAAATGGAGCACCAAAATTACGAAACAAAAAAATAAAAATATCGACATAATTCTTCGTAAATACTCACGCGTTGGTGGGTGAGGCACACTAAAAGCCATCGCACACCTAACAAGCACGGCCGCCAGCGCGCCTGCCGCGAGGTGGAAGCGCGGCCAGCGCCGATGCGACGACGTTTCGATGGCTGGCGCCTGGCGGGTGGCTCGCTGTCGGCGTCGGGCGCGCCGGGGCTGCTATTCTTCCTCGCTGTCGTCTCGGTGCCGTGTCGGTGAACTCCCACCGCGCCGTAAGAACGTGGGCGCCTAAACTACAACTCGAAAGGACGCGCACTGACCACCCGCCTTCGGCTTTGTGTGTTGACGTTATGAAATATATCATACGACATACGATTTAAAGTTTATTTAAATTGACAAGCTAATTGCTGGGTTTAAGCCGTACTGGAGGCGTGTTTGTTAGATGTGTACCTTAATTCTGGACTCAACGGTTGTAGGTACGTAGAAGGCGCCAGAGAACCGCCGCGACTTCCTCCTTTTTGCAGAATCTCTTTAAACGTAAACGCAGCGCTGCACGCACTTCTTGTGTCCATGTACAGTTCCAAATTATAAATCATATCTTTTTCCTATTGTACAGGGGAATAAATATAAACAAGGTGCGCTGCACGAGGTGCCCATTAAGAAGGTCAACTGGCAGAGATGTAAGAACATATACTCGGATTCTACTAATATTACAATCACCGACAATATGATCTGCTGCGGAGGATTAGGATATAGTAAGTTTAGTTTTAGTTTTTCTTGAAACTTATGAAAATAATGAGAATTTGGGGTATGTTAGAATAATGGAGGAAGAAGGATAATAACTCGTCAAAACCAAACAGGGCCCACCCTGTTTTAGGCTTTCATTAATAAGCATTAATATGTTTCTAGTTTTTAAGAATGGAAAGTTCGGTGTTTATTTAGTAACACCCGTCTATTTTTTTTCATATTTTCAATGTACTTAATATACACTTCTATAGATATTGTATAGATAAATCTGTGTTTGCAGACATGGAGCCCGCCTTTTGTACGCCTGACATAGGTAACCCTCTTCTCTACGGAGACAATTTGGTGGGATTGGCGATATGGTTTGGGAGTTGTAGAAATAACGATATCCCTCGTTTGTTCACCAGAATATCCAAGTATACGAGTTGGATCGATAATACGGTAAGCGTAATGGTAAGACATCTTACTAATATCTATCTAAATAATCCTTACTAATAGTATAAATCGGAAAGTGAGATTGTTTGTTTGTTTGTTCCGCTTTCACGACGTAACTACTAAACCGATTGCTTTGAATTTTTGCAGACGTAAAGTTAGAGGTCCGGATTAAATAATAGGAGGGTACTTTTTATCCCGGACAAATTTGATATTCCCGAGAGAAAACAAAAGTATTGATGGCGCTGTATGTATTGGTATATGGCACATAGGTTACTTTTTATCCTTTTGTGATACGAGCGAAGCCGCGGGTAAAAGCTAGTTATATGTATATAACTTAAAGGTGACTGACTGACTGACATAGTGATCTATCAACGCACAGCCCAAACCACCGGACAGATGGGGCTGAAATTTGGCATGCGAGTAGATATTATGACATAAGCATTCCCAAGGAAAATATTTTGATCAATTCCACCCCCAAAGGGATAAAATAGGGGATGAAAGTTTGTGTGTAACTTTGACAGTTTTACACCGATCGGGTTGAAATTCAGCATACAGATAAACATTATGACGTGATCTACACCGTAGATGTAGATGTCCTACTAGGGTATTCTATAAGATGTCAATTCAACTCCCGAAGTCAGCTCGATCGCAGTCATGTTGTGAGAATAATCTCGACCATAGACGAGTGAGAATGAGCGATGGAGCTCACTTCGAGAGTTCGAATTGGCATCGTACAGAATACCCTAGCAGCACCCGGTGCGGTTTAGTGTCAATAAAAAAGGGGGCAATCAATTGTCAACCACCTGTTCTATCTCAACCAGTTGGTGGGTTGTTAATACATAATGTTTGGGCTCGCTGCCATCGCAGCGGTAAGTCCCCTCTTTGAGGAGTGGCTTGAGAGACGCTACAGCGTCCTCACCTACCGCCTGACGCAGGTCCTCACCGGACATGGAAGTTTCGGGAGGTACCTGTGTCTGGCGCGCGCCTCAAAGAGCCATCAGACCACCACAGATGGGGCCCAATAGGGCCGATGCCGATTCGGAGTCGCGGAGAACCTAACGGGGGCTCCGGCTCGACGTGTAGGAGAAGGAACGGGGTGGTTTTTAGTCAGTAAGAGTCTGACACTCCCTTCCGCCTCACCAAGGCGGGAGCAGTCATTCGATGATTTTCACCCCTTAAAAAAAAAAATACATAATGTTTATTAGCACCTACTTGGTCGTACTAGTTGAGAATTCCAAAAATTTAACCAATATCAATTTGCCTTACATTTACGTACGATCACTGGAATATTTTACTCTGTTACCAGCGTCTTCTTTTAAGAATATAACATATGTTACAAAGTTTTAATATTATCATAATGACTAGTCATTATACATAATAACCAAATTGCTTAGTCAATGTGATAAATAATCATTTTAACCAGATATTATGAATAATCATCATGTGTTGCCTATAAATGCCCACAGCTGAGCAAAGCCTCTTCTCACACGGAGAAGGTTTGAGCATTAATCACCACGCTTGCTCAATGCGGGTTGGCGATTTCAAACTTATAATTAGAAATTATAAGCCCAGGTTTCCTCACGATGTTTTTCCTTCACCATATGTCAGTGGTGTCTAAATGCCAATGTGACTTTCTCCGAGTTATATGTACTTTCTAAGATTATAAATAATAGCAGGTTCAAATTAATTAAAGTGATAAAAAGCCACCGCTGCTCGAAATGTCTGACAAGTCAATAATTCCTTTTTTCAGATAAAACGGTCTATAGAGAGGTCTGACCCGCATCCCGGAGCCAGCTCAATGAATAAAATTGGGGTGACGCTGCTGATCCCCGTCTTATATTCAGTATTCAGAAGATTCGCTTAGAAGCAATGGAGTCTAACACGAAACGTGTAGTTTTGTGCTCTTTCATATTATTATTTATCTTTCATATTAGACTTTATATGTTTTTTAAAAATTATATTTTTGGAAAAACGAGTATTTACGCCCACGTGAGCGAAAACAATAGCTTTAATTGGCCATTTCGGAACATTTAATTTTAACTTACATATCACATCACAAACAGGCTGACTTGTAACTCGACGTATTCCTCTCGGGAGGTAATATTCAGATATTAATTAAACTCTCAAAAATAATTATGGAAAAAGTAAATAAAATAGAGTGTAAAGGAAAACGAGCAATTTCAAAAATATCATTATTTTACTTTTGTTTAAAGTGACCTTTCCTATGTTGAGCACGAACACGCTTTTTTATTTCTGTGACGGTCACTCTTAGACTGAATGAGAGACTTATTTCTTTAGCCTTCAGTCTAATGATGTTTTCGAACCTGTCCGTTTTCCTTTACACTTTGCTTACCACCAAGTTATGAATTTATTTTTGATATTTTATAAACATAATTTAATGTTTTTGGATAGTTAATAAACCAAGAAAGTTTTTCTAATAGTTTATACGCTTAGTGTAATATCATTTATTTAAATGGATCCAGTTTTCTATTGACCAAATTAGTGACAGAAAACAAAATTTAATACTTATTTACTTACTTGCTATTTTAAAACGAATGATTTTGCTGAAAGTATTAGTAGCTATGTTTATTGATAAGACAACAAATTAAATCTAAAATCACCTTAATCAAACCAGTAGTTTTATTCATTAATGTTTTTGTGCTTAGATCGGGATTTTGTCACCAAAACCGAAAATGTTGAATATCTCAGAAACTAGCCACTTTTTTTTATTTTTACGGGTGGAATATCATCGAATGACTGCTCTCGCCTGGGTGAGGCGGGAGGGAGTGTCAGACTCTTGCTCACTAAAAAGCACCCCGTTCCTTCTCCTGCACGTCGAGCCGGAGCCCCGGTAACCCGTTAGGTTCTCCGCGACAGCCACTTTAGGGCTAGGGACCTTACTTTTATATGAAATTAGTTGTATTATCACCTCCCGAGAGGAATACATCGAGTTGCAAGTCACACTGTATAGTATAAAAGGAAACATCGACGGTTGAAAGGAAAGGTTTTCAAAGAATATGCATTAGGTATTGTAATACGAACATTAAAAAGTTCATGTTGTTTTATTAAATCAATATCTTCTACTATTATGAATTTACGATACATTTGAGATCATGAATTAAAATTAAACAGTTTATTGGTACTACGTTTAAACAGTTTATTGGTGGTATTGGTTGTACGTAATTATTATTCCTTTTAGTTTAGTTACAATCGTAAAAGTAAATGAGTTTTGTGTAAAAATGTTTGTGACTGGATTTATGCAATAAAATGTATAAAAAAACATTGTTTCATTAATTGTAAAAATAAAACTAGATTTTTTTATCATGTGTAAACAGATACGATACATGCAATTTCATCCAATTTTTTTATGGCATAAGCCGGTAAACTAGCATACAGATCACCTGATGGTAAGCAATCGGCGTCGCCCATAGACACCTGGAACACCAGAGGCGTTACAAGTGCGTTATCGGCCTTTTAGGGATTAGGAGTTTGAGGATCGTTGGAGATTCAGGGATTGGGGGAGGGGAGGGTAATTGGGATAATTTAAAAAATACTCGTCATACAGTCAAACTTCGACACGAATGATTCGGATTAAACCGGGATCTACCAGCTACTAGCTACCAGAGCCATAAAGCAAACCGATGTGAACGATTGCGTTTTGTCGAATGTATGAGGTGTTCGGAGGCCTAATTCCCAAGTCACCACCAAAGAGTATAGTAAGTATAGGTCCCTACACATTTTGACACAGTCCCATTGGTTGTCGACCGAGTGGTGGAATGCGCGGGAGTAACTGGTTACATCTTTTTTGAACGTTAATAGGTCGATCTCAAGTGGCATTTTTTTTTTCGTTGCGGTCTAGAAAAACCGTTTTAAAGTCAAAAAACATTTCAATTTTTTTTATCTGATGCAGTTATTGGATTCGTGTCTCAGGGTAGCAGTGCTGTATCATCTGTATACGTTGCAACCATAGGTCATATAGTAGGTAGGTAGGTCACCAGTAAATATACTGTAAAGAACGGCGCCAAGTATACTACCCTGCGTTATTGCGTCAGTTAGATGATAGATAATGCAAAATATTAGACACGTATTTTTTGTTTTCTTATATAAACTTACAAAACTTAGATAAAATGGAGTTAAGTTTAAGAGTGGGCGATTGTTATGTAGCATATTGTGACGTCACACGATATTTCAAATTAACCTAAGTATTTAATTTTGTGAAAAGAGTAAAAATAAGTGTCTAATGTTTTAAAAAAATGTACCAAACGAACATAAAAATAAAAATTAGTCATCTATCTAATATCTACCCTATTAACGTTATAAATTTATTACCATTGATGAATGAAATATAAATATAAAGCTTCTAAATTCCAATATAGCAATCAGTTCAATATGCATTATAAAAATATCTGAATCTGTCTTAACATGCTGCAGAACTGAGCCTTTTCAATAATTTATCTGTATGTGGAGCCCACTGGAGCTTAGCGTCTAGGGTTATACCTAAAAAACAGTAGAATGTACAGGGCTCAACTCCTCGCCCTTAATTAGCACGCTGGTTTTCACATGTCTAACATTTGGTGTTGTAAATTTAATGCATTTAGTTTTAGATCCATTGTTATTGGCACTAAACCAATTATCGTTTACCGTTATCAATGACTAATTGTCCACGTTTAAGTTTAAATAATAACGAATTAGCATCTGAGAACAGTACTATCCCGTGGTTATCCCTTAAAAGGTTGTTGGATCGATGGTTAAGTGGAGAGCAAATAATATACTTGTGGACTGTATAATACGTAATATAATAATTAACTAGACTGTTACAATAACGGTTATAAGAAAATTGATATAATTAAACTGGATTAGAAGGCGCGAGCGCGGACGTGCTTCGTAGTGTCTAACAGCTGACTGGCGTGTCGGGGCCGTGCGGGGCAGGCGGTCGTCGCCGCGCACGCCGCCGTCCGTCATCCCCTCCAGTGCGCAGCGGAGGCCACTGAGTGCATGACTCAACATCCTCCCCCCGTTGAAGAGTCTTCAACAGACACAGGCAGAGGACATATGGTGTTGAACGCTCGCCGAATGACACCCCTTCGTGTGCGGATGTCGGCGACTCTTGCGATGCCGTCTCTGCCAGGGAGCACCCGAGTGATGCGCCCTAGAAGCCAGAGTAGAGGTGGTAAGCCTTTGCCCTTGATGACAACGAGAGTCCCTTCTTTCAGCTCTCCCGAAGACCGCTGCCATTTCGTTCTCTCCTGCAGCCATAAATGTACTCCTGAGAGAAACGATTCCAAAAATGCTGTTTGAGGCACTCGATGCGTCGAAACCGCTGGAGATTGGAGATGTTGGTACTCTCGATCTGTGGGTGAGGCAACATAACAAGTGAGCGTCCAATCAGGAAATGTGCTGGAGTTAAGGGAATAAGATCTGAAGGGTCGTTGGAGAGTGGAGTTAAGGGCCTTGAGTTTTAAGATCGCCTCCACCTGAATAAGACATGTTGCCATCTCTTCAAATGTTAAATTTGTTAAACCTAGAACCCTCCTCAGGTGGTGTTTAGTGGATTTCACCGCGGACTCCATAGTCCTCCAAAGTGAGGAGTGTATGCAGGGATAAATGAAAGTTGATGCCAGGATCAACCACGTCGAACTGTAAGTCTTGTGAAAGTAAGTTGGCCAACTCATTGAAAGCACCAACAAACGTTGTACCGTTGTCGGAGAAAATATTACGAGGCTTTCCCCTTCGAGCAATAAAACGGTTCATGGCAGCCAGAAAAGCCTCCTTCGTGAGATCCGATACAAGTTCAAGGTGGACGGCTCTGGTAGCTAGACACACAAAAACACATATGAAACATTTAACAAGCCTACCCTCGTCCTTTACGGTCAGCTATCATAATAGGTCCGGCATAGTCGACGCCTGAATCTAAGAAAGGAAACTCCAGGTGCAAGCGTTGCTCTGGAAGGTTACCCATCACAGGCTGGATAGTGCTTGCCTTAATCCTGCAACATTTTACGCATTGATGTGTGACCTTCTTTGCCAAGTTCCTGCCCCCAAGAGGATAGAAATGGTGACGAATCGTGGCAAGTAAGAGTTGAGGTCCTGGATGCAAAAGACGTGAGTGGTACATATTGAATAGTAATTTGCAAACAATATGCGAACAGGACAAGAGAATGGGGTGTTTTATGTTGTAGTCGTAAAATGAATTACTTAACCTGCCTCCAACACGTATTAGGTTTGAGTCAGTATCAAGGAATGGAGATAAGGAAAGAAGCTTATTTTTAGCAGGCAATTGTTTGCCTGCTAAAAGCAAACTGTACTCTTCGGAGAACGACTCCTGCTGAGATAATCTGCAAAGAAGATGCAAAGATGAATTTAGTTCTGTAGAAGTAAGAGCACCATAGGCAGATGACTGTCTTCTACATTTATTATAAAATCGTATCACGTATGCAATCATACGTTGTAGTGTGTAAAGATTGGATGAATGTTTAGGAAATAAAGAACAAATAAGAATTTCTGTTTTATTAGGAATATCAACATGGTAGGACGACACCGTTTCAGGAAGCTTCAAGTCATGATGAGTAGATGTAGGGAATTGAGGCCAAGAAGATGTGCCTTCAAGAAGATATTGGGGTCCTGACCACCACAACGAAGAGGATAGTAGTTTGTCCGCTCTGAGTCCACGCGAAGCGAGGTCTGCGGGGTTTAAAAGAGAAGGAACGTAGAGCCAAGGCCTTCCCGCAGTAGTTTCCTGAATCTCAGAAACTCTATGACGGACAAAGGTTTTCAGTTGCGTCGGTGATGCAGACAACCAGCCTAACACTATTGTGGAGTCACACCAGAAGTATATCTCGTCAAACTGTAATGTTAGTGACTGAC